TCCTCTACTGTAACCTGGCAAAGTAGCAGATTCCAGAGTAGTATTGACTATATCTGGGCAAACCATTCTATCCTTCGATACCTTACTTTATACCAAACAGATGATCTACATACAAGCACCAGAAGTGATCATTTAATCTTAACTTCAACATGGACTTTTCCATATGCACTCTCTGGAAAACTACATACATCAACCAAAACTCGCAAAAGAGTATTCATATAAAAAAATATAAATAACGAAAAATGGCAAGTATATACCGACCAAGTTTCTTCTAATCTCAAAAACAACAATATACCCACATCTGATTATACATCAAATCACTCAAAGCCACCTGACACAAAATTCAAACCAGTGTCATTTCTGCTGCTATGCAATATATACCAAACAAAAAATTTACTGTACGTAATTTCCAACATGTTTACTCACCTAAAGCCTCTCTTTTGCATACACATCTTAAAAAATTAGGAAATATTATCTGACAAATTAAAGCAACAATTAAAAATCACACACCCATACCAAACCAATACAACTCTATAATCAATCACATTAATTCAACCCACAATTTAAACATACTATTAATATCAACTAACTACGATCTATTACCTAACTGGATATCTGCAAGCAATGATGAATAGAAAGTACTTTATCATGCACGCAATATTGAAAACATTAAAGAAATTAGGCAGCAAATAAATGATAATATATCTAAAAGATGCGACAAACTTCAAACAAATCCCAAATTTATGATCAACAGTATATTAAACCGTCACAAGGATCTAGTTAAATTTGATAATATTAAAACAGACAATAATATTATCACAGACACAAACAGTATTAGATCTCACATCCAACAGCACTTTGAACAATGGACAGAACTTAGACCAATTAATGAAAATATCTATAATTCCTCCTGGGCAACTGACTATGAACCTCTTAGTCATGTTGCCCCAGAATGGTACCATAGTGCTCTTACAGAACTTTCCATTGAGGAAGTATCCAACACTCATTCACAACTACCTAACAACAAAGCTGTGGCTCTTCGGGAATTAGCTACAAAATGCTGAAACATGCAGGTCATACTTTTCTCCAAGCTACTACTGCTCTGTTCAACAGATGCATTAATACAAACAAAATCTCTAAACAATGGAAAGAAGGAATAATTTTTCCAATTTCCAAAAAACCTATTTTTGATAGAGACCTAACCAACACTAGACCAATAAGTTTACTTGAATATATCAAGAAACTATATACCAAAATCCTTACAAATCGACTTAATTACATCTTCACCAAATATTCTATCCTTTCTCTCTATAATTATATTGCTCTTCCAGGCAATAGTACAGCAATTCCTATACATATTCTCAACAATATCATTGAGGATGCTTCCTGCAATTCTAAAGAACTTTGGCTTATATCTCAGGATATGAGCAAAGCTTATTATTCAGTTAACCTTGATCTTTTTAAAAAATCTTTAATACACATCCTTATGCCTACCAAACTTATCGAAATAATCTCCAACTTACTCTCCGACCATCACAACAAAGTTATTATTAACCTAGGTCTTACTAAGAACTACCAGGTCAAAAATGGCATTGATCAAGGGGAAACCATAACCCCTCTGTTCTGGAAGATCTATTATGACCCCTAATTCATAAAGTAGCATCTTGTTATACAGGATACACTTTATCTGCAACCTGGTATACAAACTTATACTCTAAACACAAACAATACACACAAGCCTCAACATCTGTATTAGCTTATATGGATGATACATTATGGATTGCACAAACCAAGGCAGAAATGGAATTGATCATTCAAACATCCATGTCATTTTATCAAATGGCCAATCTCCAAATTAATCCTACAAAATCAATATTCGCTACAAATTGTAAACCTACACCTATATCCTTTATCAATTACATACTTAACTCCATATCAAGCAACCAGCCTTTTAAATATTTAGAATGTTGGTTTACATTAAACAACAAACAAACTGAACAAATTAAACTCATACAAGATGAAACTCTTCATTTAATCTATATTGCAAACACAAAAAAGATTACGGACAAACAAGTAGTCTATATCATTAATACAGTTATAATACCTACTCTAGAATACAGACTACAAAATATAGTATTATCTCGTACTATATGTAACAAAATACTAGCCAAATACCTTACAGTAGCCAAACACAAATCTCATCTTTCCAAATCTATCCCAAATAGCACTATGCTTAACCCATATCTATATAATATCCGTAATATTTGGGATATACAATTACAACACCATATTACCAACTTTCATATACATATTAATGACCCTAACCTGTTAGAAATAACAATACGCATTAGATTACAACAACTTCAAAACAACCTATAGTCTAGCACAAATATACTGCAGCACCCTAATCCTATCATCGATAGACCAAATAAGTCTACTCTAAACTGCAAAATTATCCAACTTTTTTCTCATCTACAAATTAGCTTAACAGCTAACCCTAATTTCTCCTGGCCTCACACAATACAATACAACCTACAATCACTTGAACAAATCTTATACAAACATCCAAAATATAATATTTTTAAACAACAACTTAGACATCTACAGTTATTATATCTTGAGCAGCTTTGTATAGCAGACAATATAAATCTGCTAAACTGGCAACATATATCACCTAGAATTAAACATATACCCAAAGGCAGAATACCACTTTGGTTCAATACATTAGAAGACCTAATCCTAGCAGATAAAAATGATTGTATCTTACTTCCTCAATTTCAACAAACAGAAACTAACATCTTTGCTCTTAGTACTCACAACATTCCCAAAAAAGTTTAAACCATAGGCAATTACATTTAATAATGATGAAATCATTTTTGGAAAAATATGTAAACTATACCCATACAACCAAGAGTTTTCAATCACTCACTAGCAAGCAGACTTTAACCTAAACACTACTAACTGCTATCCACTACCACCAGTTAATTGCAAACCCTGTTTAGGATGTCATCTCAACTCTAACAGAATCAAAATGGCCTGTATAGTCAACATATCAGCAATCACAGCTACACAGTTCTTTGGAAGAATTCACTCAAAACATCTTAGATTTAATGCTAACTACATGGATCTTATCTTCTCTACTGCAATTAAACACCCACCTCATAACATTACTTTACCAACACCACCTACTATTCCAATGATAAATTCTATTGCTTATCAAATCTTTCAAACCAGTGAAGCAGCTACTAAACTTCAAACAATATCTATTAACAGCTACAATCATGAAGTAATTAATTTTTATACCAATGGATCTGTAATCAACATTGGTACTGAACACTGTACTATGGGTATAGGCTGGGTCCAAGTTGATAACAACAACCAAATTATATCACAATTTAATGCTCAAATTGAACTCTGGCCATCTTTATATAAAGCTGAATTGCTTGCTATATTGGCAGCTATCTCAACAGCTCCACGTAATTCTACAATCAATATCTATACAGATTCCCAATCTATTATTTCTAAATATAATCAACTTCATTCCTATACTTTCAACCCTAACAAACTTTTTAAATTTAATGCCTGGCCACTATGGCATACTCTTCTCAATATCATTAAATCATATCAAATCAACCTCACTCTTCATAAAGTTCCAGCCCATACAGATAATATCTTCAACAATTTAGTGGATTCATTAGCTAAACAACATACTTTAGTATCTAAATTGCATTTCAACTATATAAATATCTATAACCCATACCATATTATACAATGTGAAGATGAAAAATTTTCTATTGAACTTCCTACACGATATTTTATGAAATCTATCTGTAAAGCACACATTCTTGCAATGTGGTCCTCGCAAAAACGCAATGAAGAATGGTCTCAAACTAATCACAAGATCGACTGGAGATCAACCTGGTTATATTTTAACTACAACCATAAGCCTACTCACAACATCACTAACTTTAAGCTCAATCAACTCAAATCCTTTAAAATTAAAACATTACTTAACGAACTACCTACCTATTTTCATCATTACACACTTTATCCCACATCTTTCTATAATGCTAATTGTTTCCAATGCAGTACAACTGATTCACACTCACACTGGCGTGTATGTGCTAACTCAACACAAATTAATAACATTATTCTAACTACTGTCAATAACTATATTAAGTCACTAGAACTAGATCTCTCATCTACTCAAACAAACGAACCCTCAGCACTATTACCTTCTTCTCATCATTTAGAACTCACACTTAAAGGCTTAATTCCTAAATTTATTATTAAATCTTTACAGGACTTTAATATCTCCTACAAGACAGCATCACATATTATTATTGAACTTTTACTTAAAATTAATGAACAGATATATGAACAGATTTGGAAACCATACTGTACTAACTTCTTCAACTAGAAAACACAATATGAACTATCATACCCCTATACTAGATGTAATAATACAATACCAAATCTAAATAGAAGAAATCCTACTTAAAGAAACTATACATACTCTTGCCTATGTGGACTACCAGATCATTTACATTTCCAAACTGGCACCTGCCCTCCAGCCAGCCAGGCTATAAGAAAAATCAGTTTCTGGATCAAACATTAGATAAAACATAGTATTTCATTAAATTATATCTCAACTATCACAATCTAGGTGAGCTTTTGACCACTATAGTAGGTTTAGGTCGCAGATAAATATGTTTGAGCTTTATTCTTGCATGTAATTTTGCTTTATTTGTATTCATACGAATAGTAGTATCTCTATATAGTTTAATTCTATGTAGTTACTATTTTAAAAATTACTTAATAAAGATACGAGCAAGGCCTTACCTTCCAAAAAAAAAAAAAATCAACATCAACCTCAAGTCTGAGAACATATTCAACAACTTTATCATCTGTTCGACCAATGGTTGATCCCTTATTCAAACATTTCCAAGTAAGCCTTTTCCTTTTTATATAATTTATGCTTATCAGATTCATGCACAAACTTGTTTTAATTGATGCTTTTGCAAACTTTCTATTAATTTTCACCAACTTTCCTATTACATCATCACTGATTTTAACCTTTTCTTCCATTTGTTCAATCCTTTCTCCAATGATTTCAGTATCTATCCATCTCACATCATTTACTTCTACTGAATTTCCTTTACCAAATTTTTGAACAGAACAATCACAAGCCAAGTATCCTGGTTTTCTGTATTCATAACATAAATGTAATCTATATCTAACACCTTTTCTTTGCATTATCATCAGGTTTTTTATAACATCCACAGTTATCATTTCCACAATTTTTCTAATCATTATTGCCAAACTATCTTGGCTTTGCTTACTTTCGTACACCATCTTCAGATAAGCTCTCTGTTTCTTATGATGTTTTCTATTATCAAAATACTAACAAAGTTCTTCAGCTTTACTTCACACACCAATATTCAACGCTTTTACCAACACTTATTATTTCTTGATAAAGGGTTTCACAAAGACCTTCCTTCACCTTGACTATCAATAATAAACCATGCAGTTTAACGAGAGTTTGTTTTCTTACTCAGGTCTTTTCTGTCACATAGTTATCCAAACTACCGTATATTACTTGACTTTTGCTATTAGTTTTTAACTCACTTGGCTATTAAATAATGACTGGTGTATCATACCAGATACTATCACCAACAATGTATTTACACAGATAACAGTTTATTCACTAAGAACAACTCAGATAATAGAACCAAAAGCTAAGCCTTTCCCCTATTTAGATCGATGCTTTATATTTATTACTAATTGATAATGATTACTACATTGTTTATGCAATCACTATTTTAGACTTTCTAATTACATAATGATCACTCAATATAGGTTATTCATTAATTAGATCATAATATTCGATCAACATGTATTTGATTACTAGTTACATGGGTATTATGTAGCACTGCGACACTTAAAATCATTTAATTTCTTTTAAAAATGTTATCTGGTTTTCATCAAGTATAGTAGATAATTTATAATGAATCTAAGATTGTTAAGAACATAAAAAACAAGTGTTATTTGAATTAATAATAAGAAAGTGGCCTATATTGAAGCTTAAATTCAAAAACATCTGTGTATTTTTATTTTACAGAACAAATATATGTCAATATTTATAATAAAAAATTATTTATTATTACACCTATTTAATTATGTCTGATCTACTTTGCCATATATATTCATGTGGTGTAATAGGCTTTCTGTATTTGATAATATAGTGTAAGTGACATTTACCAAGTATGGTTGGCAACTTAACTGTTTATATTAGTTCATATCATCTTCATAAACAATTTCCTCATGATACCTAGAAAAGAAAATTCGCATATTTCATTTTTTAATACTAGATACATGTCCTTTGCATTTACTAATTCTTAAAGTTTCTAACCTGGCCAATCAGAATGAAAGATCAGGTGTAATGTGAAGATCAAAACACAATTGCTTTTTTCAAAAAGTCTCATTTATTTCAAAATTTCATCTAAGAAATTATTTTTTGGACACACAAAAAAAAATTTTTTGCAAAATTTTAGTTAAGGTCATCCACTAACACTAACCCTATGCTCTAACTTAGGTGTCACATTTTAAATAAAAAGTGATATGTAAATTGGTGTGAATAATCTCAGCCAATAGAAACTTGGAGAAAAATTAGTAAATGCCATGTACTTGTGCTGTACATGTAAAGAAAATATTTTTTTTAAAGGATGAAAAAATAAAAATAAAAAAATTTATCAAAATCAAAAGTATACTTGTGTTATAATGTATTATTTCATTACTTTTTATGACCTCTTTGCCCTATAATTATATGTCACTTTGGGAGTTATTTTTTATTTTTTGTTTTCTTTTCGTCAAATTCTTATCGGCATGATGAATTGATAATCAGTAATCATTAACTACCCCTGTAGCATCCAACTAATCAATATTGAATCAGGTGTAATATGAAAACAATGCATTTTTTAAAAAATTGCCTATAACTCAAAATAACCTTTTTCTGCATACTAGTATAAAACAGCCATCTACCTTCCATTATAGACCTTTTTGATGAAGGTTGTGCTAATTAAATTTTGTAGGAGGACAATGATCTGAAGCACTGTTCAAAAATTGCAAAGGCATTAAAGAAAGACAATAATGTCCAAGTTATCCTCTGACTATCAATGTTATCTGACCAAAACCTTAATGAGAATATTTGAAGGTTTATAAAAGTGAACCTGGCAAAAAAAAATTAAAAAATTTAGTACTTTAAAAGCTGAAATAACAAAGGAATAGAATTGTTTACCTAAAGAATATATGAAAAATTTAGTAAACAACATGAGGAGTTTTATAGAAATTCTAATTGAGGCTGAAGACAATTATGCAATACATAAATTTTCTTGTAATGCAATGAATTTTTATATAAAAAAAAATTTATCTACCTTATCTCTGTACCGAGTTAGAGGTGCAAAGAAACTTTTGTCAGACACTATAGTCGGGTATATTACCAAAATTGGGCAATGCAGATCATACTAATTATAGTAAAAAAGCACAAATTAGATGTTTCTTAGATTATTCTAGATTTTTGATTGTGGTAAATTACATGTTAGTTGGCAATCAAATCATAAATTTTAAGAAAATGAAAAAAAATTCCAAAAATAAAACCCTCCAAAAAATAAAGTAAATACACACATCTTTATTAATGCTATTTATTTATTAGCTGTTATTACTTGGATCATTTACAATATCAAAGTTTCTCAACAAAAAAGAATTTTATTTATAAAATTAATTCAGATTTGATGTAGCAAAGTTTAAGACATTATGTATATCTATCTCTAGCCTCACAATTATTATATGTTCTTATGTAGATTCTGATTTTTAAGCAAAGATGCATGAATCTTATTATTGATAACTATTAACAATTACTCAAAAAATATGCAACAAAATGTTTAATTTATTTGAAGTATTGCTCACAAAAATATTCAATACAAGATTTCTGAACTCTACACAATACAAGTACAAACTGTTAGCCATAAGTACAAATTTATAAAGAACATAATCACTAGAATGTTAACTAAAACTTTATATAAAAAAAAAAGAAATGAGATATAAATATAAAATGCCAAATTTATCTGTTTTTCAGGTCACATTTACTTTTACACAAAGAGCTGATCTTGCTTGAATCTCCTATGATCACAAAACTATAAATGGTTTACTTTTCATGTGTCTAGTTATTAATTGTGAACAAATATTGTTAAGTTTGTGAAAATATCAATGAATTTTAGTAAAAAATATGATTGTGGGCTAATCAGATTATAATAGAATAATTCAGAATCGATTTTCATTTTTTGTAATATGCCTGACTGCACTATAACATTGTAAATCTTCATTATTAATGACTAGTCAAGTATTACAGGTTTCATATACCAAGTTTGTACAAACTGACAATCAATTTATATATATAGTTAAATTAATACTATAATTTAATAGTGATATCTCATAATTTAGCAATTATACTTATATAATTTCGATACTATTAGGTTTATCTTGTCAAAACAAATATAACAGTACCAAATCACATATTTATAGTTACTAGATTATGAAATATCACTATTTAATCAGAGTATTAATTTAACTATATGTACAAATTTGATTGTCAGTTTGTACAAACTTGGTATGTGAAACCTGTATTATATATTATTTGTATTATTTATATTTATTTAACTTATTTCTTCCTACATGATTCATGCTGAATGAGTAGTAATTGTCTGCTTCTTACTTAATAACTATACTGAGTTGATAAAAAATAACTAAATAGTAATCTTTTTAATATCTTTTTTTAATTATGATAATAATCACTTTGATGCTTAGTAATAATTGATATAAATTAGAAATTATAATGTATAATTTTTTTATCATACACTCATGTCTTATTATACTATTAAAAATATACAGAACTTGTAAAAATTTATTTTAAGAAAAATTCATTGCAAAAAACCACTAATATCTTTATATGAAATATTCCAATAAATATAAATCTACTTTAGCAACTATTTATAATCTTGTAAGTAAATTTACTAGAACAGAAAATGTAGCAAATAATCATCATTCTGGTCATCCAATAAGTGTAACTAAACATAATAAACAAGATGCTACTATTAATGCTTTTCAAGAAAATCCACAACAATCAATAAATCAACTTGCAACAAAAATTAAATTCATAAATTCTATCTTTATAAGTTTCAACTTTACTAAAAACTTCTTGATATTGATTCTAATTCGTAACTTGAATTTTGTAATAGATTAATAACACTTATTATTAATGATAAACCTTTTATCTTTTGTATTTGTTTTACTGATAAAGCAGTTTTTTATTTGAATAGTAAAGTAAACAAACATAATTGACATTATTGGAGTAAAGAAAATAAACATATTCTAAGAGCTGAAATATTCAATATCTACAAAAATTAATGTTTGGGCAGGAATAATAAATAACTTTATTATTAGTCTATTTTTTATTAAAGAAAATTTAAATAAACCTAAGTATTTGGAAATGTTACAGAATATTATTATCCCAGATTGAATAATTTGTTTCCTGAAACTGAAGTTATTTTTTAACAAGATGAAGCACCTACTCATTTTAGTAAGGATGTTTGTAAATATCTTGATAAAAAATTTTTTAATCAGTAGATAGGTCAAGGAGGATCTTATAAGTGACTTTTTCATTCACCTAACTTTACACCACATGATTTTTTTTGTGAGGATACCGTAAAACTGAAGTTTTTAAAATATCTCCTAATAATATTGAAAAATTTAAGTAACAAATTATTAATGAATGTGAAAATATTATCCAAGAATAATTCATAAATGTTAGATATACATTTTTTAATTGTTTTAGATACTGTATTGAAGTTAATAGTCAACATTAATTTAATGCATACTATGTTGATAATAATTTGTACACTATTTTTTTTAATGTTTCATGAATTATATGATTGATACTAGCCATTACATACATATTGTATTGTATTTTAAAATTAAATGGGGGTAGTAAAAAAGGTTACTGTTAGTGAATAAACTCATATTAATTTATGACTTGAAAATTAAACTTCAAAAAGTGCTCAAATCATTCAAATAATAATATTCTTCAAGTTTTATTTGAGTTATTTGAGTCACATAAATTAATTATCATAATAGCAAATTGAGAGTTGCAAAGTAAGCATATTTTAATTTGATTTGTGTGTTATAAAAAGTGAATTATAATAATAAAGCAAATATCTCAAATTACAAGTTATAAAGCAGATACATAACATATAAATTCATTAGCTTAAAATATTGTATCTAATAAATTCATGTTTTTCTTT